TATAAAAAATATATAAATTTTATGTATTAATTAAATTTCACATATGAATATAGGTTTTTGACATTTTCGACATTTTTGACAGTGAGGTTTTTGACGTGACGGTTTAAACCATGGATTAAACTGTCAAAAACTGTCACATGTCAAAAACCTGCCAACCCTGCTACCAGGTAGCAGAATTTACAGAAAAAGTCACTATCTTTATAAATTCAATTTATACAGATATTTATCATGTAAGTAACAAAATTTTCAAGTATCATGTTATTTAAATTAAAACTGAATTTCATGCAATGATACTTTAAAAAAATTAATAAAACCTTAAAAACCTATAAACAAGTAATATATAAAAAAATATTTATTCACTATTTTTTGCAATGTTTTCTCAATTGTTTAAGAGTTGAGATGCTTTAAAAAAAAACAAGTCACAGCAGACTTTCCTCCTCCTCCTTAATGCAGGGATAAAAAATCGTAAGTAGATACTGTGATAGCCCATAGTACTAGAGTGTTTCTGCTACTAGGTATATCAACTTACATAATAAATGGTCAGTGTGCTCTGAATGGACAGATAAAGTACAAGACAAGATCTACTTTTTATTACATGTAGATTCAAATACCTAGCAGCATTTGTCAACAACATAAAATTAATAAAAATTATAGAGGCGTTTACCAGATATTTTTTAAATTTTTGATTCAAAAGGCATTTACCAGTAATATTTATCAAGATCTCCTAATAATTTCCGCTATAGTGCTCTTGATTTTTTAAAATTATTCCTAATTCAACCTTAAAATTAAAATCGACCTTGCTTCATTATAAAGTAAAACATTAGATATTACTGAATTGAATAACATTTCATGATAAAAAAATTCAGAAATTAGATTTTAGAATTATTAAACAGTTAATTTTATTATAAGCTTGTGCACATCAGTCACTCAATCAATTTATCCAATTAAAATAATAAGTGCAAAATTGTCAAACTTTACAAGGAATTAACTTCTTGTAAAATTACTATATTGTGGCAAAAACATTATAAGAATTTTTTTGTAAACAAAAATTAAATGGGAATTTCAGGGGTGATTGTGAGTCCAACTTAAAAATCCTGAAAATTTCTCCAGTAAAATCATTAATGGCACATTTCAAAAAATTTATGTCTTTATAAATTTAAATCATTGATATTTTCAGACCATTTAAATTATAAATAAATTATATACAGAATAATTTAAATGAATAATCATGTATAAGTTTACTTTTATCTTCAATCACATTTATTATTCTACCAGAAAAAATATTTACAAATGAAAGATGCCAAGTATAAATTCTAGTTCTAAGATTTTTAAATAAAATACACAAGAATTTTTATACATAAATGTGATTGACGATTTCTTGAAACGTCTGGACCTAGGATTTCCAAAGCGCGATCAGGGAAAAATCCGGACAACAATCACCTCTGGAATTTAAAAACAAAATCTTAGACAAATTTGGTAATCAAGGAAAATGATTAGGTTAATTTCCATTACATTTTGCAGAATATTATTTCGGTGCATACTAAATCATATTTTATAAACATCTACGTAGATAATTTGACGAATGGGAACTAATCAAAAGAATTGTACAACTTTGATTCCCACTCTACTCTTATTGGAAAAAAACATTTTCCAAATTAATTGCAAACAATGGCAGATAGATAATTTTATGAATGGGAACTAATCAATATTGGTAATCATGGAAAATGATTAGGTTAATTTCCATTTCCAATAAATTTTGCAGAATATTATTTCGGTACATGCTAAATCAAATTTTACGAACATTTACATAGATAATTTGATGAAGGGGAACTAATGAAAAGAATTGTACAACTTTGATTCCCAATCTACTCTTATTGGAAATAAACATTCTCCACATTAACTGCAAACAATGCAAGATAGATAATTTTATGAATGGGAACTAATCAAAAGGTAATCAAGGAAAATGATTAGGTTAATTTCCATTTCCAATAAATTTAGCAGAATATTATCTTAGTGCATACTAAATCACATTTTATGAATATTTACGCAGATAATTTGACGAATGGGAACTAATCAAAAGAATTGTACAACTTTGATTGTCACCCTACTCTTATTGGAAAAAATCATTTTCCACATTAACTGCAAACAATGCTAGATAGATAATTTTATGAATGGGAACTAATCAAAATTGGTAATCAAGGAAAATTTCCATTTCCAATAAATTTAGTAGAATATTTACACAGATAACTTGACAAATGGGAACTAATCAAAAGAATTGTACAACTTTGATTCCCAATCTACTCTTATTGGAAAAAAACATTTTCTACATTAACTGCAAAAAATGCCAGATAGATAATTTTATGAATGGGAACTAATCAAAATTGGTAATCAAGGAAAATGATTAGGTTAATTTCCATTAAATTTAGTAGAATATTTATACAGATAATTTGACGAATGGGAACTAATCAAAAGAATTGTACAACTTTGATTCCCACTCTACTCTTATTAGAAAATAACATTTTCCACATTAACCGCAAACAATGCCAGATAGATATTTTTGGGAACCAATCAAAAGCCCTTTACAACTTTGATTCTTACTTTAGTCTCATTCGAAAAGACATTTTCTGCATATGGCTACAAAGAATACAATAGAATGCTACAAAATGCCGGATAGATAATTTGATAAATTAATCAAAAGCACTTTGTAACTTTGATTCTCACATTAGTCTCATTCAAAAAAAGGTATTTTCTGTAAATGATTTTAAAGAATACTATGAAATTTATTCTTTATTCTCATTGGAAAAGATATTTTCTTTATATGACTATAAAGAATACAATGAAATGCTACAAAATACCACAGGGCCTCTAACACTAAATTTATAAAGTAAATATAGATTCATGATAATTGATTGAATGCAAGGTTCAGTAGCATAAGCAGAAATATATACAAAAGAGAAGCACAGGGTTTTCTCTTACCAAGAGACCACCAAATGCAACAAGGAGCAAACAAAATAGATTTTACTGTACTTTCTAGATAATTTAAAAAATACAACTTTAAAGACAATGGTTTTTGGCCTTTTTTACAAAAACTGGTCTAATTTCATAAAAAGAGCTCTTGTTAGCTTAACATATGATTGGAACCTACTTATTCAGGATTTATAAAAGGGCTCCACAACAAGTCATTAACATCTCTATACAACATTGTCGCTCTATTCATCATGGCTTATATTCAAAGTTGATCTATTTGCTGGCAGATATTTCTGCTTTGCGATCTGGCGCATTAACTTTAACCTCCTAGGTACCAAATGCATTTTAAACTTACAGACAGAGTTGACAAGGTTTAAGACAGAATGGATTAATCCACGGTTTAAACCATTTCGTCCAAAACTATTTTATTCAGATTATGTCACAATTTAAAAAAAATCTTGTGAAAAATAAAAAGTTAAAGTTGTTCAATGCATTGTGGAGCTTCAAAAGTTAAATTTTTTTCCTATTTGTTTAATAAATTAAAGTAAATTGTATAAAAAGTATTAAATACTTATTGATCTATGTAATTATGATGTGTGCAATGGTTACACATATTGGATCTTTACCTTTTATCAATGTTCAAGGTTTTAGACATTTAAAGACAGTTTTAGTCAGTCTCGGACAGTAAAACCCACGTGATCTATCCAAAACCAGTTTAGGATATCCAACACCCCAATCCTGCTGGTAATTTAAAAAAAAAGAAAGTAAAACATATAAAGGTTTACCTAGGAGTTAGTTATACCATTCGATTTTACTCAGTTTTCCATCATTTTCTTTTTTTCGTTCCTCACAAGCCATTACTTAAAAGTTGAAAAGACTCTGCATTTATTTTGCTGCTAATCACAATACATAAATCATCCTTATTTGTTATAGATAACTAAAATTTGACTTAAACCACCATAAAATAATCAGTGATCCATCCATGTTTAATAGTAATTTAGCTTAATGTGGTACATTGAAATAAAAAAAAAACTGCTGCCAGTGATGACGAACAGATGTACAGCAAGGGTCTGTCTAGGTTTTTCTGAGGGGTAACTATTTTGTGAAAATTTAGAAATAATTTGTGAAAATTGAAAATTATATTAAAATATCAACACAAAAATATGGTAAAAATACGGATTTACTGCTTCTTACAAGACATAAAAATAAAATTTAATGAAAAAGTATTTTGTGTAACTACCGTTTTTTCTAAACTTGAATTTGTGAAAGTACCGCTAAACGGTAGTAAATTTGGCTGGGACAGACCCCTGTACAGAGTAACAAAAGATGAAAATTAAAAAATTTTTTAATGGGAAAAGATGTTTGAGTATTTTAAATCATTTAAAATTAAATGTAAATAGCAGTGTCACAGCAATTCAGATACAACATAAAATCAATAAGTATGATGTATTCCTGTTGCTCTTCAGAAGAAATGAAAAGATACTTAATTAATAGGAATAAACATATTGATCTGAAAGAATTAACCTATAATTGATTATATATAACTATACTGCTTTAAATTTGTATACATACATATCTTGAAAATAATGAAATAACTCACTCCAAAAAAATTTAGATATACGTAAAAGAAAATGAAATTGAATTTATAAAACAATTTAGAATTTGAATCTAATAAAAAGTGGATATAAATTAGATAAAGCCCGAATCCTATCATCAGATTCAGTCATTAAGGATTATTCAATACGAACCAAAAACACAGCAGTATTTGACAGTTAATTACTCAAAATGCACCAATACAATAAAATTTATCTCCCAAAAAAGTAAATACTCGATAATATAAATTCATACTTAAAATATGTAATGTAGACAAAATACATCGAGAAACTTATTCAAAACAGAGTAGTCATATAGAATACACACATGGTCGCTTTTTTGTTTATCATAAACAGATATATCCGGAATACATTTCGTTCGTGTGTGATAAGGCACACAATCGAAAGGGTGGAGAAATATTATTTTAGGTCAAAACATTTAGAATATAAAATAGATAAAATCATCAAAGGGAATAATATTTAGGCAAGTAGTTTCTACAGATCATTTATGACGTGATACTGTCAATTTTAACAATAAATAACAAGAACTATACTACACAGTGACATTACCCTTGCTGTGATCTTCGGTCGCTGGCAATCCAGGTAAATTACGAAAGCAGCTTTCTGTTCTCTTTTTGATGATACTTATGGGTGACAAAACGACACTCTTGAGATATGATGTATTTTTTTGTTCATATTCTGATTTAAGATTGACGACGTCACGATTAATTTCGTTGCATTTGTTTTCTTCAGAATCGTCTGCACTCATCTTGAAGGAAGCCATTTTCTGTTTTGACTGAGGGTTGCCAAGGTAATCGTTGGAAGCAATCGCCAAGATTCAATGGCCAACTCGAATATTGTAAATAGTAGTCGGTGTCCCTTCACGTTATTGATAAACCGGCATCTCTTAATTTCTCCTCATAATATATTTAATTTGAGAAAGATTTGAAGAAAGAATCGAAGATCTGAAGATCAAAGTTATCCTAGGACATGTTATTTTATATTTAAACCTGTGACAATGCAAATGTCTTCTTCGACATATGCTGTAGTATCTTTTAATCTGAGAAAATAAAAGTTTATTTTTTTAATTGTTAAAACTTTGTATTTCTTGCAAATTTTTGAAGACAGATTTTTTATTTTCAATTGTAACATGTAATGAAATAAAACTGACAATGATCACGCCAATTGATAGTTTAAACTTATTTTATTTTAGTGTAAAATTATAAGAAATTTCTATATTACTTTACCAAAGGAGTTTCTGAAAATGTTATTAACGAAACAAAAATAGGGTGATTAAAAAAAACAAAGTTCAATTGTTTGCCAATAGTTCAAATTTTGGGCGATCAACTTTTCAACGTGGATAACTCTACATGTTCATGTATATCTAATTAGATTCGAAAAGAGAGTAGCGTTTATTGGACACAGTTATTGGACTCCGCTGAACAATTGGAGGATAAATAGGAAAAGAACCAATCACATTACGCGTTTCAAAACTAAAACGTGTCCACTTTTTTGAACTACTGCGCATGCGGGAAATACTTCGAGCTCACAGTCGGCGAAATTAATCTTCCAGATTCGGTCGTGATAGTTTGTGTCGTGTACTTCAATTAAATTAATATAATCATTGTTTTCGTGTTTAAATTTTGTTGCAATGTCTGCGAGTGGAGCAACTCCAAAAAAGATGAAGAAAGTGGATGTTGGAGACAATGATGAAAGTAGAGATTATGATGCAGAAACACAGAAAGCATTAGAAGAAATCGACGCTTGTCAGAATGATATCGACGCTTTGAATGAAAAAGCCAGTGAAGAAATCCTGAAAGTTGAACAGAAATATAACAAATTAAGGAAGCCTTTCTTTGAAAAGCGAAATGAGCTGATCAGAAAAATCCCAAACTTTTGGGTGACCGCTGTATCCTTTTCTACCATTTTGTTTTAATGTAAGTACTATATGTTCTATGATAAAACATGGTTGTCGTTAATTTTAGGCCTAACATACATTTCGGCTGTAGGGCCACATGCTTTGTCCGGTGTACAATGACCGGCGTGTCAGTTAATGACAATTAATAATATAATGTGATAAATGTATTAGATATGTTTACTATTGGCGAAAACTAGTCTACGCTAGTGTTTTATTTGTTATTATAAGGCATGTGGGATTGTTTAGGTTAGACCGGCTCCTGCTGAGTTTGAGCGGGAGTTCGATATTCATTATTTTGTCTTTTAATATACAATTTGTTTTGATTGCTTACTAAAATGCAGTGTTAATTCATATTAATAAAGGAATGTTTTCGTGAGATTGACAATATATGGCAATTTCTCCGATTTTGATTAATGTTCTTGAGGTGGCGTCCATTTTGGGTATTGTCTTACCACACGTGCAGCATTATAATGTTGTGTTAATATCTGACGCATTTCATTTTTGTTCGGTAACATCAGTGAAGTTTTATTTATTTTTCGGTTAATAGTTAATAATTTTATCAAAGTTGCTAATTATAAATGTTTTTAATGTCTGCATTTTGAGAACATAATCTGAGTGTTTCTATTTGATTGAATATATCTACAAATATAAAGCTATTTATTGTTTATTGGTACTAATTTTTTAAATTGTTTATTATATTGTTAATTGAGTTATGTAATAATAGTTCAGAGACAAAGAATGACAATTGTAAATAGTGTCCTAAATCTCATATTTTATCATTTTAAATTGAATGTAAAAGCTTTACTATTATATTTCCCGCTGGTTAGAGCAATGCTCTAGGGGAGATTTCTGTATCTTCATCTGTAGCAGAATAATAGCCATATCTTGGCATCTTGTGGGCAAAGACCCACAGGATTCAAACAAAAGCATCAAAGAAAGAGACCATCTTGAAAAGGATAATTTGTAGCCATCTCTGGGCAAACATCTAAATTTAAAAAAAAAGAAGGAAGTTTTAAATCTATTTCGCATCTTGGTGATAGTAATTGATGCAACAGATCATGATGCAGATATATCCCCTGGGTTTGAAATAATTTTTTTACCTTTTTTCCAAATTTCTATAACTGGATACCATAATTTATTGCATTAATTGGTCATTTGGTTATTGCTACTCTTTTTAACCCTCATATGAATGATTGGTTTTCGCTTTATTTACATATGTATCAAATCACCAGATAGCTAACTTACCTTATGCAATATAGAGTATTTAATTATGATTGTTTTTAATATAAGGAAGTTGAATCAACTGAGCACCTGATTGTCGTAGTGAATTAAATTTGTTGATCAGTTATTCTGATCATTCTAATCTAGTGTCTACGAAAGAGCATTTAAAAATTTTTGCCTGTGTCATAATCTAAGTAGTTTCTCATTATTAAAACTAATCTTAATATCAGGGACTGTTAAATAGAAATTAAGGGTTTGTTATTAATCCCTTAGCAAACATTAACCATAAATTGTAGGGGAGAATGATTTACTATTAAAATTTAAGCTTAATAGTTACTTATAAGGTGTATTTGCATAGTTCAATATAGTGCAATGCAATGCCTTAAGTTAGCGTAGTTTTAATTGTATGATCTATTCTGTGAATGTTTTTGCATCATTTCCTATGTTTTGACTTGATTGTTGTGAGATCTCATATCATGACAACTCTGGTAACAGTATCTAGCAGATTTAAATATTGTAAAAGTCTTAAGAAAAAATTGTAAATTTACTGTAGTTAGTTATATTAGCAATTTTACTTGAATACAATAAGCATGTGACTGTTTTTTTTAATGGGTTTTCGTATTAGACTAATTACGTTTTAGAGTAATTCTTCATTAGACTGACGGTTCTGCATGTAAAAAGTCTTATTTTAACCTGCAGTCTTCACATAGCACAACCAGTTTTTCTATCTTATTAGATGGGGATTTGGTGTATCGGGGAGAAGAATTCTCCCAATCTTGCCCTTTTGCTAAACCGCCAGTGGGTTAAAGTATATAAATGATAGTATTTTAAATGAAACATGGAGGAGTTGATGATTGTTTAACCGTATATAAACAATTTCTAATGATTCAACTGGGAGAAATATCTGGCTTACTGGAAAAATTACAATATTTAGCTCGGAAATAGTATTTTACATTTTGTGTTCTGTTCTTTTCTTTAATATACCTGTGAAGTTTGTAAATCATCCACAAATCTCAGCCATTTTGGATGAGGAAGAAGAAGAGTGTCTTCATTTCTTAACCAAGCTTGAAGTTGAAGAATTTGAAGATATCAAATCAGGATATAGAATTAAATTCTATTTCGATGAGAATCCCTATTTTGAAAATGATGTCATTGTCAAAGAATTCCACCTCGGTTCATCAGGTATGTCCATACTATTTAATTTAATTCTATTCTAATTGTCCATTAAAAAAAATTGTTTGTAGTATAAAGAACATGTCTTTTGACACTAAAAACGCACCAATACGATCAGTTTTAATAATGATTTTATCAGTCATGTAAAAAAAATAATTTCCGACTGATTTTGAAGATATAAAATTTTACTGTAAGGATAGTTAGTTGTTAGCTATGATAGATAGGAAGCTTTTATAATTAAGCAGACTTAAAATTACCTGTGATAAATCATGTTCTTGAATTATTTAGTTATTAAACCCTTTCTTTTTACACTTACTGTCGAAACTTAAACTTAAGTATAGAAAATATTAAATCACTATAAATAAAAATATGTAAAATTGAAATTTTTCCAATCACTTTTGTGACTTTTTTTTAAATAACCAATTTTAGAATATTGAAAATAAAAATGCAAAAAGTATCTTAGTAGTTAACGTATTAGATAAAATTTCTATTTACTCTTAATTTAATTCCTCCTTCATTGAAACATAATTCACAGGGTTGGGTTTTTGCCGTCAAAAACTGGTTTTTGACATGGCAGTGGTAAAAACCGTCAAAAACTTACTGTTTTCTTTAATTTATGGCATATAGCGGACAATATATTTTCACTTGATTTGCAAGGAATTCAAAATTTTGCACTTCTTGATTGTTAGAAATAAGCAAACATACAAAAAAACTTGGAACTACAGTACAGAACCCGTTATCCGGAATTCAGAATACCGGAAAACCAAAAAACCGGAACGAAATTCGATAAATTTGATTATTTGATAAATTTGATGAATCGATAAATTTCCCCCCATTTTTTAAAAAGAAATTTTATTTCCTCATAAGATTTTAGGATTTTTCTTCCTTTTTTGAAAGATGTTTACCTTACCATAATTTTGGAAATAATCATTAGTGTATTACTTCATCGTTTTTTCTTCTTTTTAAGATTATTTCCAATTTTTTTTTTTTAAAGTTGGATTTATCAATAAAAAAATGGCTTTTTGTAGCGATTCAGAAAACCGGAAACATCAGTTATCCGGAATAACGATGATCCCGATCGTTCTGGATTATCGGTTCCCTACTGTATTAATAAATTCAAGAACCAAAAAGAAGAATTTAAAATTTGGCATTTCTTAAATATTAGAAATAAGCTAAACAAAACTTTCAAAACTTGTAACTACTAACAAACTCTAAGTCAGGAATGACTTGACATTCTTCAGTAAGGTAATATGCCAAACAAAATGATGCTTGGAAATGTTGAAAATTTTGCAGAGTATCCTAATATTTTACTTCAAATACTATGATTTGATATAATCATGTTGGAAAAGGGCAAAAATCTGTTCTTAAATATCTTTCAACTCTTTTTTTCTAATTTTATTGCCCAAAAATGAATTAATTTTAAATCATAAGCAGTTAAACTCAAATTAAAATACAGTTTTATCAAAACTATGGGTTTTTGACGTTCTGACAGAGGGGTTTTTGACATGACGGTAAAAACCATGGTATAAACTGGTAAAAACTTGCATGTGTCAAAAACTTGCCAACCATGATAACTCATTTAAGCACTTATATTTTTTATAAATAGTTCACCAATCAGTGGACTAATAATATATTAATATAATTCATATTAGTTTACTAGTATTGAAAATATTCATGTATAAGTTGGAGTGAAGGAAATTCTCAGAATAAATATTTACTATGAACCAAGTTTCTTTATGGATCAATATTTCTCTGTAACAGAACACAATGGAATCTTCTGTTCATATAAAACAGACTTTATTTCTAACAAATGATTCTAAATTCCCATAAATGCACATGGTGCTTCAATTAATAATCAATAGATACAGTTACAGTAATGTTCAATAGCAATGAACTTAAATAAGCAAATATAAATTAAATAAAAAAAAAAGATGAGTTCTTTAATTCTTAACAACAATAAACAATTCTCAATCTTATATAGGTGATCCTGCATCTCAGTCTACGATCATAAAATGGAAGGATGGAATGGACCTAACAAAAAAACATAAAGACAGACAAGCACAGTTAAAAAATAGCCGAAAAAGGGCGCATGAACAGCCAAGGACATTTTTCACATGGTATGCTGATCATGGTGACGCTTCTGCAGATGATATAGCTGAGGTAATGCGGCGGTTTTATTATTTTTTGGGTAAAAAATAACTTTAATGCTTTTAGAATTGTCATTAACATTGTTTATGTATTTTATAATGAGTTAATTTTTGCTAATAACTATGTAAAACTGGAAGTGTTTCTTTTTTTTTTTGTGCTCTGCAATACAATAGGAAATCAGAATTAACCTTACTTAAATTATGAATTAAAGAAATTATTAACCTTTATGGTAATTTAAAACACATGTCTAACTAAAAATAATGACATATTAATGTTTTTTTTTAGTAGATGTCTCTTTAATTAAATGTCTCTTTAACTAAATATCAATTTGTGTTTCATGCTCATGACGGCCTACTGATTTGATATTTCAGTTTTTTGAGACTGAAAAAGGAATTGTATATTTTATTTAGCTGCATATATTATGTGATACATATATATTTTTGTATTTATAACAGACACTGCTTATATGCATTGATGTTGTATTTTTTAATGGCATTTCATAAGATTTTATTAAGAGTTGAATTGCTTAGTTAAGAGTAGAATAAAAATTAAATTTTAATTTTAAAAAAAGAAATAAAAATTAGTATTTAAATTTATTTTATTACTTTATTTCATACAAATGTGATATATTAGTTTATAATTAATGTAAACAATGTAATTTATTTATAAACCATGACCTGATAAATAAATTTGTCATAGTTTCAATAACATTACAAAGCTAAAATTTCTAGTACAGAACAGGTTATAGAATTTTAGTTTTTAAAAAAAATTATTTTATGATTAATTACTAGAACTTTTAAGGGTTTCTTAGTTTCTTTTGATTTTTAATGGTTATAACCAGTTTCTGTCAACAAAAAGCCAGTCTTAGCTCGAGGTTAACATTCCAACAATTTTATACAAGTAAGAATTCCCGTTATACATATTTGTATATACTTCCTTTGTGTATTGTAATTACGTTTTATGATTGCTTTATTTTCAAAGTTCTTGTCATTAAAAAAAACCTTACCTTTAAAAAAAACCTAAGATGTAAGTGAAATTAGATTATTTATGGCATCCTTATAAATATGTTAAGGTCTCAATCATTAAATTTTGCCTTGAAACTCACTCATGAATGTCAACGTGTCATTTTTTTTTGCAATTCTCATGTATGTTTAAAATTACAATGGAAATTTTTAAGCTTTGCTATTTATAATATTAGCTAACTATTTGAGGTATTTTAGTGATTTTTTAAAAATATTTTTGAATGTTTCATATTGTGTGTAGGCTGACTCTTTAACAATGCTTGTTTAAGTTTCTTACTTAACTAGATCTGTGTATTGTATGTAGTATAATGATTGTGTTTTACAGGTAATTAAAGATGACATGTGGCCAAACCCTCTGCAATACTTTTTAGTTCCAGATATTGAAGTAGAGAATGGATTAGAGGGTGAAGATGAGGAAAGGTAGTTGTTCTGTTACTATCTTTTAATTAAAGCTTTTCTGAATAAAATTCTCAAGATATTATTTTTAGAAATCCAAAAAAAAGCTCCATGTTACAATTTTATATTATCACTAAACTCCTGTTGCGGGCATAGTTTGAGATACCCAGGGCTGATTGTGCTCCGGAAAAAATCCGGATTTTTCACTAGCAGTGATCCGGAAGTTTCCGGAGATCGAAGGTCCAGACGTTTCAAAAAATCATTGATTGCAGAAGTTTCCGAAAATCAAATTTTCAAAGGTGGAACTTAAAAACACAGTTTATTTTATTTGTTTGTAAGGGTGAGCCAGAGAGATACTTTATAAGCTTATATTCATGATTAATATTAATTTTTTATCAGTAAATAGTTGTTAAACTCAAGAAAGAAAGACATATTTGTAAATTTTAATTACTTCTCCAGGTATAGGTATGTGTAAATGGTATAGGTATGTGTAAAATTTTAAATATATTTTAAGTAAACTAAGAAAAAGGAGAAAAAAAAAACTTGTTTAAATTTTTTTCTAATTTTTCAATTTAAACTGTTTTTTTTTTTTTTTTTTTTTTAACTCAAGAAATTTTCCGGAATTTTGACTCGGGCTCACAATCACCCCTGGATACCAAATTTGTGAGTGATTATGTGTTACCTTGTATTTCAGAGAATAAGCTAAGAATTTTAAGACCAGTTTCAAAGCTTAGATTAAGGTTTTAACTTATAATTGGATCCACTAATTTAGAAAGTTCTCCTTTTGTCGAGCATTGGAAATAAGAAAACAATTTCAAAGGAAAACCAGAATTAAAATTACAATTTGAAAGAAAGGGTTGCCAATCCACAAAGAGCACCCAGAAAAGCAAGGAATTTAAAAATCACCTAAAATAACAAGGGAGATTGCAAACAATTTTGGGTTTTACTTTACAAACTCGGAAAATACTAGGAATTTTATTTTCCCCTTGTGACCACTCAAAGTGCCTTAGGATATTTAAGGATATTTCTGTTATACCAAACTGTTAAATTTACTGAAGCATTTGTTTTAACTATGTTAAGCTGTTCCTTATTTCTTTAAGTTTTTCCAGCAATTAAAACTATTACAGGGTGTGTAGTGTTTTTAAAAAGTGCTTATTTTCGTTTTTTAAAAGCCCTTAAAGTGCTTTTTTCATTGGGTGTCAAAAACAATGCCAATTTTTTTTTTTTTTTGACATGACGGTTAAAACAGGATAAAACCCTTATTTGTCAAAAGCTTCCCAACCCTTACTAATTATGTTTACTAGTTATGTTTTCTAATTACTTACTTTATGCTTACTAATTATGTTAAGTGCTGGAAAATATTTTTTTATTGCTTAAAAGGTGCTTATTTTTTGTTGAATAATTTGGCTACGCACCCTGTAATAGTTATCCTAATGTAGCTCAAACAAGAGTGCAGTGATAGCATATTTCCTCTTAATATATTTTGTCCAAACCTTCCAATGAGGTGACCAGATTCGAATCCGGTCACCTCATTGGAAGGTTAACGATCTATGCTCTGAGCCACCACAGCTCAGATAGTTTTTGTTTATGAATTATCGAATGCAACAGTCAAATTTTTTTAAAATTTATTTTTTTGCTTTAAATTCCAATATGTTTTATCACTATAATAATTTTAGTTGAGTGTATGAACTATACATATGTGTGTTAAATCTGTTGTAAAAATTATTGAATTTATTTAAAAAAATAAATATTTATTAATATTAAGCTGTGCACTGAGTAGTAAATTATTAGTGCTCGTGTCTTGAAAGATTTGTCATTTGGATTTCATTACTTTGAAATATATTTATGCCTGTTGTGTGCTTATTTTATGTTTTGAAAATAGTTTCCTTTGTCAAAGACTGCTACTTTTATTTTAATATAAATTAAGTAATCTATTGCTGATCATTAATTAAGTAATCTTTTTCTAACAGTGATATGTTTTAAAAAGCTTAGACATTTGTTAAGATTGTTTAATTTAGGTTGATTGCTTATGAAATAGATTTATAAAGAAGCTTAATTTTTAAAATTCTTTCAGTGAGGATGATGAAGTTGATGACTCAGTCGTAGTAGTTGAGGAAGAAGGTGATGGAGAAGATGAGGAGGATGAAGGAGAAGGTAAATTATATCCATGCTGAGTTTAGTTCTTGCATCAAATTTTATGCTTAACTATTATGGCTTACTGAATCTGTTTTTAAGAAATAAAGACCAAATAAGAATTTTTGTTAAGCTTAAATAACATTAAAAAACCCATGGAAGTAGATAACTAAAATTAAAAGTCTTGTGCGTGCACGCTACTTAGCTTATTTATTTTGTGATTATTTATAGAATAAAAAAAGATGACTGCAACTTTTCTGTTTTTGTAGCCTATTTAGTTTTACTACTGCCCAAGGCTTCATAATTTTGTAGTCCTGATTTAAAAAGTAATTGCCTTGTAAAGTTAAATTGAATTTTTGTTCCAGTTTCCTATAAGTTAATGTTAGCTAAAATCTCACTCTTCGATAGTTTAATGATCTTCAATTGCAGTTAATAAAGCTAGTTGAGATTAGAGTTTCGATTTTTTTTCCAATATAGAAAGGGTCTACTAGTTATGGATATGGTTACCAATTCTCAGATTTATTTTTGTCTAATCTGAAGACCTCAGACGGCTAAGATAGTCCTTCATGTGATTTCCTTAATGAGAGTATGAGATTGGAGAACTTGCTCATGATTTCCATATAGTCCTTTGAACTTTCCTTCAGATTGCTAATTTTGTAGTTCCAAAGTTAAGTTTATTATTAATTCCTGCTTATAATCAATCTTTCATTTTTACTATTTGGAGAAAAGTCTTAGGAGACAAAAATATTTAAGTGCTGGTCCTATGTAAGTACATGCATTGCCCTTTGACAAAGCATGTATGCTAAAGTAATATATAATTTTAATAATGATTAAACTATTTTTTTTCCATTTTTTTTTCTTAGTTGAATAACAGGTAGTTTCTTGCGATTCTATAAAGTTTCATGGTTTAAAGTGAAGAGATTTTCCTGAACAGAATTTTACATTCATCTGATAAGACTAATTCAGATTTATCAGGAAACCCACCGGACCGGGTATTGGTCAAGTTAAAAGATGACTGTATTTAGATTCTTCAGGAATGTTACCTGCGAAAGAATATTTAGCTAAATAACATGAATCTCACAGTTCCCTCTGGTCAGGGAAAACCTGGAGTTGTTAGGTTGGGAATACTCTAAAAAGTAGGAAATATTCCGCAAATTTGTTTAGAAAAACACCTGGAAAACTCTTACATCAGACCTGGAAAATAACCAGTCTCAGACTTGTCAGTAGCAATAATTAGTTATTGTGGTTAAAGTTAATTCAATCTTTATCTATTACAATTATTTGTTGCAAAAATTTCACATTTTGGTGAAACTTCCATGCTTCTATCCTTATTTATTCAGTGATATTTCTTAGCTCACAAAATCTAATATTTGACATTACAAATACAAAATCAAAATTGTCTGGTGAAAAATTGCATGGTATTCTGTTCTTGGTCTTAGACAAATTTTGAAGATGGACTGGGTAAACAAACTAGCTTCAGAAAAGTTTTTAAAGCAATAGGTTGGTTTATTATTTTGTAATTTTTAGGGTGTCCTATCCATATCTTTCCTATTGTTTTCAGTTAGTTTACAATTGTCCTATGCCAAGTAGTTTTGTTAGCCTCATTTTCTATTTTTTTGTGGGTTCCAATCAGAAACTTGATTTACTTCAAAAAATTTTTTAGATTTATGTTTAACATGACAGATTAATTTACTTTTAAGTTTTCTAATATCCAGATCAATCTTTTTTTCTTTTCGCTTATGTTATCCCAAGGTCACAAATTATAAGGCTTTTTGAATTTCTTAGATTAGCAGATCTGCCACAGGTTTCATTATTTAAACCTTTTTGGAAATTAGTCATTTTATGGAAAAATGGAATTTCAGGCATATGGAGTAACTATCTTATTCATTTATTAAATTGTCTCTCTCGTGTGATTTTTTAAAAATTATAATTTCAATCAACAATATAGTAATCATCTATAATTTTTTAATGATAAATTGAGAAATTATTTACCAGATTTCTTTTGAACAAAAATGTTAAGTGGTGTATTCACTGTTATCACTTTCAGATTATTGTTACCTTGCTTTCAAATTATTTGTTCTTAATGACTCAAATTGCAGATTTTAAATATATATTTCCATAAGGGGATATTAACTATTTAAGGGAGTATAAGCTAATTTTTAAATGAGATTTGTAAATATTTGTATACCTTAGGATTTAGAACTTTTACTGTGCATAGATAAAATAAAATATTTTTGACTTGGAAATTCTAATTGTCTAAAGATCTTTCTTAATTTCGGAGATGTGATGTGCGCAAAGATTAAATTTGTGAGATTCTTGCCTAAGCCCAGGTTTTTCTTTTTTGTTTTAAAAAAAATTGCTAGTCGGTACAGCTGGGAACCATTGGCTTAATTTATTGGAAAATATTCTCTACTTGCAGATTGTGGTAATACTCCATATTTTGACGGTTGGGAACCATAATCTATTTTAAAGAATGTTTTTTTCTTGTCTAATTTTGTAACTTACATTATTGTCTTTAATTAGAATTTAAGTTTTAAGTCTTTGCTTTTTGTTTTGCTCGCTGTACTTTCCTGCAGTTAATTTATTTTACATGATTTTGTAGTATTTTTATGGAAAAAAACCTTATAAGCTTAGCTGATGAATTTTCTTTTCTGTGTAGAGGAAGAAGTGGATGAAGAAGAAGTTTATGAAGAGGGAGAAGAGGAAGGAGGAGAAGGACTTGAAGAGGGTGAAGGTATGAATCCTTGAGCATGTCTGTGCAACGCTGCTTGTTTTCATCTGGACTTGATATTTCGCGAATTATATATATATAACCGCACAAGCATCACATTCGAACGTTAGATTTTTTTTGTCCTAGTTTATGTATATTCCATAGGTACATAATAAAATATTGTTTTTAAATACATAAATCGTGCAGTAATTCATTCAAGGTACACATTAAGACAATACAATTTAAATGCAATTTAATTCACTGACATTCACATATAGAATTAAAGCTTAAGATAATTTATATTAATTGACCTTTTTGTACATTGAGGGCTATGGTTAGTTTATTATTTAATTTTATATCTAATGCAAAAGTGAATTATAGGTCTTTTTTCTTAGCCATTCCTTAGTTCTCCTTTAAATGACTGTTTAAGATTAACAATACAATATGGTGAGGGAATTGCGTGGGTGGAAGCTGTGAGCATCTGTCTTGGGACTCTTCTAGCATTTATATCTTTGATACGGTTTGTTTTTAGAAAGTGTAGCCTGTCTTATTCATTAAAGGCAGGTGCATATGCTGAAAAGAAAACTTGTAAAAATTTAATTATCAATTTTACGACTTAATTATGGCACCTCATTAGGTATAGTTTAAATATTGCATTAACAAAAAAGTGTTATTTTTTTATAGAATAGCAGTCTTAATTATTTTAATGTAGTTATTACAGGGTTGCCACAGGTGACTAAAATGCAACTATTTTTGGCATGAGGTTACTATGGCAACTTTTTTTGTGTGTGCCTAAAAAGGCAACTATTTTCAGGAAAAGGAGACTATTGGGAGGGAAACTTTTCTGTACTTCTGGCAATGTTTTTTTTTTAAAAGCATGGCTTGGGTTGGAAATCTGCGCTATAGTTTCTCAACACACTGAACTTTTTTCTTAAAAAAATTTTGAATTGCAAATTTGAGTCTTCACTTATTTCGTTCAATCTGCACAGATTCCATTGTAGGTCTATTTACTTTCTCGATCGCCTTTTCAATGGTTACGAAATTCCGCATGATTTTTAAGAAGAAAAATTATAAAGCAATATTACGATGCGAATTTCGAATTTGACTAATCACTTTTCACAATATATATGTGTGAGTGTGTGTATATATATATATTTCTGGAAAATAGTGCTGGAACCTTAACGTTAATATAAAAATTATCACATTTGTCACCAGCTTGACTCAATGGATCATGGTATAGGACAAGTCATTAACATATTTTTGATGAATTTTTGTTCTTATTTAAGCAACTATTTTCATAGTTTTCGGCCACTATTTTCATGCTTTAGGCTACTAAATGCAACTATTTTGTTCATTTTTTTTCTGTGGCCACCCTGCATTATTATGTATTATAATCCCATTTCGAGAAAGTTTCATGGTCATTTTAAATCTTGTGTCACAAGGAACACCTCATGTGACATGCGTGGATCCCATGTTAAGTTCAGCATTGTGTTATGAATTGTAAATAAGTGAAGAAGATCTTCGATTATTGGTATAATTCATAGAATTGCCAAGGATGATTGCAAGATTAAAGATTTCATTTAGGTTTATTTATATAAAAAAAAATTAATGAATTCAGAACATAAGTCATCCATTTCCCAATATTGAGGGATGTGAAAATTTATTTGTATCTCAGTGCATTATCAGTGTTGAGAGGGAAGATCCTATTTGGGAATTGAGATTTTTGGGAAATCAACATTATAATCTGGAAATTTTTGGAATAGTAACAGCTTAATACAATAACTACTTTAATTATTTGGCATTGAAGTTAGTCTAGTGAGTGGCCACCCTCAAATGATACAAGTTAAATACATCGAATGAATTATAAGATGTGTTAAACATATAACCCAGCTCGGTTGGAAATTAATGAAATAATTGTAATATTTTCATAAAGTATTTTTAATTTAATAGTTCTTTGCCTTTCGTTGTAGGAGAAAATTCTTTTTTTTATAAACACTAATATAGAGAAGAATTTGTAAATTGCCAATTGGAATCATTTTTTCTTTTATTTTTAATTAAACTTTGATTAAGCTAATTCTTTGCTTAAAATTTTAGTGAAGACCATTTTGTGTTACTAACTTTTAATTCATAGTTATTTAAAAGGCTAGGACTTTTAAATTCTTAAGTTCATTGAGCAAAGCATAATGCTTCTATTTGCATCAATCTTCCTTTTTTTTTTTTTTTTTTTTTTTTTTTTTTGAAAAGCAAGAGTGGGAAAATAATAATAAAGGTGTTCCTTGTTAAAAACTTTTAGAAGACTTGTTAATTGTTATAATTTTTATTCTTAGATATAACTTCAGTCAAATGAATCTACTAAATTTTAAGGTTGGAAGTACTTTTAAGTTCTTTCCATTATGCATATTTTGTAGTTATAAATAACGTAGAGCAGGTTTTAATCTTTATTACAACCTTGAAACTTCATTAGTAGAATGCTGCGTTCATTAGAGCAATGAATTAAATGAAATAAAAAATATCAAGTAATTGGTAATTAAGAAAATTTCATTTATATGAACTAAAAATATATATCATTGCAATTTCATTCATAAGGAAATTTTATTCATATTTCTCTTGAACATAAAGTAGAATCAATTTTTTTTTTGTCCTAATAGGACGTTTCTGTTGGTTTAAAGCCTTTGTTTAATAGCAAATTCTTAAGCTTGTTTTTATGTAGAATTGGTTAAACTAGTGTAATAATGCTACTAATTATAGTATTGTTTTACATTGAAATACTATTTTTATGTTCTATCAGTGAAGCTTAGCTTATATTTAATAATATTAAAAAACTTGATAGGAACTGAAGAACCAGGAGTGTAGGACTTCAATTCTTTCATTGAGCTGTAGAAAAGAAATTCTTCCGATTTTTAGAAAGAAAAATTAATATTGAGAAAGAACAAGATAATTTCAAGAGCTGTAAATAATTAAAAACTCAAGTTTCAGCTGAAACATTTTTTGTATCATGTGATTAACAATGCTTTCCTGTTATTAAAGCATTGGGTAGAGAATAGTCCCTTTTTCTTGAACTAACAACTTTTATTTATTCAGTTGTAATATATTTTTTCCCTGAAAATATTGAGCCAATTTTATTTTAAAAATTTTGTGAGTAAAAAAATCTAAATTAAGTTTTGCCTACTTGGCATTACATATTTATATTAGAACAAATTACTTTTTAAAATTAATTTGAAGTTTCTGATAACACTTGGGGCAGATCCTTCTTATTTTAAAAATTAGTCTTAAGATTTTCACAGCTATCATACCTGAGGTGAACCTCCATGATCTTTTCTTTCTTAGAGATCAAATTTAGTTCATAATAGGTTATAATTTTCTTAATTTCAGTTAATATTTGGCATTTTTAATTGTATTAAATTATGCAAGTTACAACACTGAATATATTTTTAGAAACAACACTTGCCATGATTTTTCTATGAAAATACTACAGTTGTAAATAATGTTGGGAGTTAAATTACATAGTTCTAAGTTGAGGATTTTGGTTTGTATTTCTGATGAAGTAGTTTGTCTCCAACAGTGTTGAACCCCTTATGGTTCATATAAATTTTGATAAAGTTATCTGGTATCTGTATGATGCATAATAAACTTATAAGATGCCCATTATGTTACCTACATGATTAAAAACTTTTTTGATATAGATATAAATTATGGAATTGAAATTTTCTCAAATTTATTTAATTTAATTAAGTGACATATTAAACTAGAACTGTTGTACTCTGCAGTAGAAATTCTTGACACTATCTAACACAGATTTAAACTTTTAAAAATTTTCACGTATTCCTTGGTAAATATTGATATTATTAATTAAGAAAATATTTTTAATTTATACTTGCATAATAGGAGTTAAAGATTTAAGATTACATTTAATTTAACTTGTGAAGAAATTTCTTAAAATACATTTGTTCAAAATCAGCTAAAATATCACTCTCATACTTATGTATTTATAATAAACATCTTATTACATAAAGATTAAGGTTATTCTAGAGCTCAGAAATTATTTTCAGTGATGCATGGAATTCATTTGCATATCTTCTTAATTAACTTATCAAATTAGCTAATTTTGGATTTGGAATTAATGTACTTTTTCCATAATTCTATTAAACATAAGCTCAAAATAGTTCAAATGTGATCGTGGACAGTTATAATAATCATTTGTGTAATATTTTTGTTCACACTAATTATAAATATTTGTTAAAGTATTTTTCATGCGATAGAAAACTTAGTTTAGTTTTTTTTTTTAACTTGTGGGGCTTAACTTTTCACCAGTTTAAGTCTGGATTTGAGCAAATAATTTATAATTTTCTGAATTATTTGGAATCTACTCTAGCCTCGTTATAAACCCAAAAAAATTTAGATAATTGAACAATTATGGGAGAAAGTTTCTGTGAACATAGTAGACTAGTATAGTCTTAAGTTTAGAATGCAGAAATTTATATTGGATTGGATACAATTATAAAAACCAGTTTAAATAGTACATTTATGTGAAATACATGCTTGAAATCATGGGAGTTACATCATCCCATCCTTTGAAAGGAAGCAAAATTAAAATATGCAGTTTCATAAGTTTTCTAAATTTCATTCAGAATTTTTTTTCTTTCCTATAGCTAAGTAGTCTGACTAGTTTTCATACAGTTTACAAATTTCAACGTTTTACTTAGCTGAATTAAAAACAAAAATTAATAATGTGAAGTTTAAGATATTAATAATGTAAATTAAAAATTAATGTAAAGATTAAGTATGCCTTAAGTTTAGTTAAGTCAGCCTTTTGGCTTGTTACCTGATTAGCCATAAATATTTATAATTAAGAGTAACAAGAAATAATTTTGTTGGCATGGGACAAAATGCTAAATTGGGAAGTTTCTTCTATCTTGCTTTTATCAATATTCACTTTTTTATATACTTTTTCGCATAATGCTGCTTTTTTTTTTCTTTTCATTTCCATCATTAACTTAATTCTTAAATTGCTAAGATCTGATATGTTGAACTGGGGTACCGTCTTAAATTGTACAAAAAGTTATATTGAAATATCTTTTATTTTCTATCAGATGTGTTTCAGAATTTTTTAGTACCTTAGATTAATATAAAAATAAAAACAAGTTTACCTATAATGAAGTTTTATAAGGGTGATTTGGTGCTCAAATTCTCAATTTTTAGATTGTGAAATAAAGTTTTATACTATGGAGATCATTTGTTTTAAAAGTTTAAATTTAAATCTTCAAACAATTTATTAAAATACTTTTAAAATCCAGTTAACAATTTACCAACCAATAACTATTAAAAATTCAATTAGGGGTCATTTACAAATTCATTTTTTTTAAATAAAATGTTAGCTATGTTTAAAGTCAGTGAGACTCTTAATTAAAAATATAAGAAATTGCAATTTTCAACTAAATACTGAAGCTTCAGAGAGTAAGAATTTGTTCTTATTTTAAGATCATTAAGGATATTTTAAACAACAGAAAAGTCAAATTTAAAAAAAAAAAAAAAATACTGAATATGTTTGAATAAAAGATAGATTAATTTATTATTAAGTTAAAAATCTTGTGAACATATTTCTTAAGTTTTTATTGCAGCACTAAGTTCAGTTTTGTGTCCTAAACTGATATGGTGGCATGTCTGAATATTTATTCTTAGCTCTTTTATTTTAATGAAACCATGGTTTTTACAGCCACCAGTCCAGTGTTTTCAGTAAAACTTAAATTTGCAAAAAAAATGACAAAAAATGTAGAAATATGCTTTGTAAACATAAACAATTAAAATTTTTTTCTCAATTCTGATTGTAACCACATATTTATTTGATTTTACATTAAATAAAATTACTTTTTTGTATAATAGGAATATATATTCTCAAAAATATATGTAACATATTTGTTATTGAATGGTTTAATGATTTTCAGATTTAACTTGCTCTAATACGGTATTTTACTCGCTTTAAAATAAACTGCATTTATGTCCTTTTTAGTATGAGATATTTGTGCTAATCATATTTTCTTTCACAAAGCATAGAGTGCTTCACAAGCAGTAGTATTTAATAGTATCTAATATTCCTTAATATTAGTAGAAGTGTTATCTAATATTACTGAAGCATATTTATTTTTGTTAATTTTGCACTATGATTTTGTTAATTTTGCACTATATGTAGATTATTTTTCCTAATTTAGTCATTTTTGTTAATTAAAAGGTTTTTCTTTTCTTCGAGAAAACTTAATGTCTTGTCAAAGCATTCATACTCTCCCCTGCTACCAAAAATAAATAAATCACTAACCTCCTTGTTTGTATTTGTCAGAGGAATATTTCAGTGAAGCATATACATATTTTCGAATTTTGAGCACAATTTTAATTCTCAAAAAGTGGATTTATTTTTTATATAATAAATTAAAGTAATTAAAAAAAAAGTAAAGCATTTCCGCTGAAGGAGGGTTATGTATGTTAAAGCGACGCAATTTCACCTTTGTTGTGGTAGAATTTAATGTGACAATTAAAGGAGACAGCAAAGAATTAAATGCTTTGTTCATATTTGAATAAAACATCTTTGCAAGCATTTACATACAGAATATGGCAAAAAAAAGTTCTAAAGTTATTGCTTCATAAAATAAAAGGTAACTAATTTATTTTTAGTTTGTTCTTCTTTTAGCCGACCAATTCAATTATAAAATATTTATATGTTAGTTAACTTATTGCTTTTTTGTTATATCCAGCAAAAGATCTGCTATTTAATAGTTACTTAAGCAAGGAAAACGACATCGCTTAATTGTTGGCTTTATGTGCCTTGGCAACCCGTTCCAAACAACACAAAAGTTTAAAACTATCCAAAGCAATTGCTTCGGCGTAAATGATAATAGATTAAAGGTTATAAGGTTTAATAGATTAAAGTTTGCGGTCCATTGTTGAAAATTTCAATTGCAAAAGGTGGCTACTTGGAAACCAAGTGAATTTATTTATCAGTTAAAGTCTACTCTTATTATTTATTCTTTAATGAAGTTCTATCAAATATTTTTTATCTGGTATTTTTTTTAACCCACCCTGTTAAAAATATATATATATATTAATATACTTGCCATTTTCTCCTGATCAGCTGGTTTAACATAAATTATCTTAATTTTTGTGCATTTTAGAAAATGCCTTAAGTTTCTTTAAAAAAAATTCGTATTCAATTAGAATTTTTACAAAATTTATTGCTTGCTTGAATATTAACTTGATAAGTATTACTAATACATAACAAAGTGAGTGATAATCAGGGGTAATGAGTTGAAAGTTTTTTTTCGTTCTAAAATTTTTAGCTTATTTTCATTTAGGTTTCCCTTTTTGAATTAATTAAAAAGTATTTTTAACAATCAATAATAAATTACTTGTTTATTACTATTCAAAATTATCAGTTAATATTATAAAAAAAATTTCAAAATCAAATTTGTTTAATGTCAGTCATGAATGGAAAATATTGCAAACCATTTATAGTTATTGATGTAATTAAGTTTTTGTATTTTGTTGACATTAAAAATACTTCAAATTTATGTAAAATATTTAGTAAATTATGCAACAGCTATCATGAAATGTATTATAAAATCTACTGGATTTTTTTCTATCTGTGTTGGCACCTATGTGTTTATATTTATTTATTTATTTTATTTTATTGTAATCTAGCTCTTTGCTCAGCCTAGTCAAGTTAGTCTAATCTAGCATTTGTTTAGTCATTTAAGCAGGTTCTCCTAAATGTGTGAAGAAATTTGAAATCTTTGAATTTTCAAGTTATCACTATTTTATTCTATGTTTTTAAATGCGTTCTCTTCCTTTTATCTAGGTGAAATAGAACCAGATGGTGGAGACGGAGAAGAATAGAAGAAGAAAATGATTGTACAGTTGCCACCACACAGCACTGTTCATCACATTTTGTAGTCTTGGGGCCACACAAGTTTTTTGTTCATCTTTTTCCTCAATTAACATATTAGGCTGGGATAAAACTATTTCAAAATTATAATCTTAATATCGATTTCCACTATTTAATTGATTATTTTTCAAATTAGGAGTTTTCAATCATTAATTCCAAATTTTATCTTACGACATTTAACTATAATACATAGTTTCCTTCGTAGCTGATAAATCCCTGTTAAAATTTTGATTTAAAATTGTTTCTGGGGTTATGAAATTATTAAACCTTTTTTTTCCCCCCTTCATGCATGGAGAATTTTACAATAGTTTGACACTATTCATCATTCAAAGGCACTCAACATGTAAATATTTTAAGTGATCTACCAAAGTATCGACTATTAGTGCCCGGTTCGTTAACCACTTTTTTGGGTGTTCATAAATTCATGTCCAAATGTTAATTCCCATCAAAAATATCTTTTTTGAAACATAAATACAGAGTTTTAGCTATTGTATTATATGACCATTGAAAGCTGTTTATATTCGTGTTGTCTCATATGCAATTTTAATGAGTTTTTCTTTCTTTTTTTTTGTTCTTTGCTGGTGTTTTATTTGTTTTTATGTGTGGTCGATTCATTTATCATATGAAGGTGGCAAAATTTTTCATCAAAGATCTATGCAAAAAGAAAAAAAAAAAAAAACCGTAATNAAAGAAAAAAAAAAAACGTTATTCATGTTTCTATAATCCATGCATGAAGTTTCCTGAAAACAATATTGCACTATTAATCAGATGCTTTATTATTTTGCTGGATGTGGTTTGTACATTGTAAACACATGTTCATAGGAGGTTGTCTGCATTTTCATGAGAGAGCTGGTTCGTGAAGAAAAACTGTCAATCTAAAATTGGCTGTAACATGTAAACATTTGTCAGTTCATAGTAAAATTTGTAAAACCTTTACCTCTTGTTGTTTATTCTTTCATTGATAAATGATTATAAAAATATATTTTACATAATTTAATAAGTTACATTTAACAGTTATAAGTAAAGTTATTAAATTGTAGCTGTGTTTAAATTGAAAATAAATGTTTTTATTACGCACAACATTCAATTTTTGACTTAGTGTCAGTTTTCCGTAAAATATTAGTTTCTGGTGCTTGTTTTATTAATAAACTGTTGTACCGATTTTAATTCACAAATGAAAAAAGAAATGCACCAAAGCATTGTTAATAAAATTCTCATTGTGTTCTTTTTTTATTTTTTTCCATTTTTTAATTATTTATTTTTTGAATTGCTCAAAATTGTCAATAAAAATAACCTCACTACTAGATTGTTTCTACAATTATCTTTAATCTTTCTTCCTCTTTCATCTATAATCTTTATCTTCTATAATCTTCATCTTTCAAAATGTATAAAAAAAACTAATCTAAAACGTTAAAATATATTGTTTGATAAAGATTGAGATCAGTTGTTCGCACTTTTTTCCATGTGACTTTTTATGACACAATTTTTATCTATTTTCTTGAAAACAAATTTTATTATTTGGAGCTTTTGCCTTTTAAATTTTTAAAAATTAAACCTTGAAATTTTTAAATCAAATTTAAAACTTTTCATTTTTGTCTTTCTTTTCATTAAATTTATTTTTTCTTTAGTGGTGTAATCACACATATATTTAGTCAAATCTTATTCAGTCTATGATAAAAAAAAATTTCTAAAGCTTTTTTATCTGACCCGTTGATGTATTTTATTATTTTTGAATGCATCATTAGTATAAAAAATTTTCTATATGAATTGATAATTATTAAATTTTGATAAAATTTTATTAACCTTGGTATAAATTATTTAGTATTGCCTATCTAGTATTAAATTAGATGCTTTACATTCAATGATATACAATGATGCACATAAAATATTAATTATTTTTCAGGCTTATTTTTTGTGAAATTAAGTTAAAAACTTTGTTTCATAAAGCAAAAATCTTGTTTATTTCTCATGCGTTAGTAACATTTTAATTCTTTTCTGAGTAAATACTATACCTAACTTTTTATCTTGTGCTATGCGTTTTGAATAAAAGTTCTATTTTTAAAAGTTTTATAGTTATTAAAAGTTCTATTAATCCATTCTGCTTCCACTTACGCATAAAAAATTAGTTCGTTACATGTTTGCTGTAATTTTGTACGACATCTAAACTATTATGGCATTTCGAAATTGAATCTTAATGCAGTTTATTCAAGTCCAGTAGAGTATGCTACACATCAATACATTTTTCATCTTTAGAAGTACTTTTATGAAGGATACTTCTATGTTTATAATAAAAAAAAGTTCCTGTTGTCTGTCATAAGTTAACATTAACCATAACCTTATTTTCTACTTTGCGTTTTGCAGGGCTCGTGGTTGCCTTGATATTACTGAATTTTCTGAGGAAAAATATTTAGTCCCAATTTTTATCATTTTTTTTGTGTCTACAGATTATCTCGTTTTCTAGGAATACAGATGTAGATTTTTTTAAAATAGTATTTGATTTAAAGAATCGGAAGATTTGAATTTTTTATTTCTACATTTTTTTATTTGATAATGTTGATGAAAATCAAAAAATTTGATTGAACTATGAGACCGTCCACTAATTATATGCACAATTTATACAAATATCCGTACTCCCCAAATTCATTGTTTCAACCTTTTTAAAAATAAAATCCAGTTTTATGAATTTTTTTTTTTTACTGTACCAAATTTTTATTGTATGAATTCAGGGGTCACACACTTATTATTTTTAATTTATGCAGTCTTGTAGGGTGAAAATCCCCTAAATGACTTTTTTTTTTCTTTACAAAATTATTAAATAGTATATTTACTGTGTTTTGTTACATAGTTATTAAAATTTTTTTGCAATGATAATTATTTATATTTTGTGCCATCACAGCAGGGCTGATTGTGCTCCGGAAAAAATCCGGATTTTTCACTAACAGTGATCCGGAAGTTTCCGGATATCGAAGGTCCATACGTTTCAAAAAATCGTTGTTCACAGAAGTTTCCGGAAATCAAATTTTCAAAGGCGGAACTTAAAAACACAGTTTATTTTATTTGTTTGTAAGGGAGGGCCAGAGAGATACCTTATAAGCTTATATTCATGATTAATATTAATTTTTTATCAGTTAATAGTTATTATAATCATAAACTCAAGAAAGAAAGACATATTTGTAAATTTTAACTACTACTCCGGGTCATCGTAGGTATGTATAAATGGTATAGGTATGTGTAAAATTTTATATATATTTTAAGTAAACTAAGAAATACTGAGATAAAGGAAAAAAAGTCTTGTTTAAAATTTTTTCTACTTTTTTAATTTAAACCGTTTTTTTTTTTTTTTAACTTAAGAAATTTTCCGGAATTTTGACTTGGACTCACAATCACCCCTGATCACATAATTACGTTAGAACCCGTATATTTACCCACCATAATTTCGATACTTATTAAAATATTACAACCAAACAATCTCCATTAGCTTTGTAGAGCGGTAAACATGTCACAACACTTCTTGCTGGAGACCGCTATTCAACAACTGATGCCAGTGCTGATGTGAAGTATCCTCAGTGGTAAGACGGATCATGGGTTAGAATCCCCTTGCCGTCAGGCTAACCGTGGGAGGTTCTCGTGGTCTTCCTCTCCATGTAATACAATTTGGGTTAGTTCCATCAAAAAAGTCCTCCACGAAGGCAGATTTTTCCCAATTCTTGATCCAGGAGTTCAAAATTACAAGGCTATGTAGTTGAACATTGGTAGTCTTAAAACCAAAAATTGGCTCGGCTGTTCAACGAAGGTTATATAATAAAATAAATTTTTTTAAGTATGGATCTCCATGTCACGTGAGGTTTAACTCAAACCTTGTCTCCAAGATGGAATAAACGAAAAGTTCCATTTGATTCAAACTTGATGCAAATAAGGTTCTACGGAATTCCGCTTTTTTTTCCTTCCTGATTCTATAAAAAAGACTTGATTGACGATTTTAAATTTGCAAAATTGTGATACTTTGAAATGTGGGACCATCCTTAAATGTGCAAAAGTGATTGAAGTATCCTATATTACTCATACCTAATTAAATTTTACAATTATAGATTAAATCAAATCTCCTATAATGGATAATAGTTTTTTAAAAAATTAATATCTTCGGACAGTTTGTATAAAATGATTTGAATCGATTTATTTCAGCTGTATTTTTAAAATTGCAAATTGAGGGTTCGTTGACAAAAAATATGTTAAGATAATGTAAAAAGATTAAACCAAATTACAACTTTTAAGAAAATATTAAATCTTCAGTAAAGTTATTGGGTTAAAAAATAAAAATTTTTTAAATGAAAATTAAAGAGGATTTTTTTATAGTGAATATTTTATTGAATTATATATTGCCCATTCTAATCCAATACCTTTTCCCATCTTTCTCGAATCAACATGATTTCCATGCTTATAAAATCTTTGATTTTTTTTCTGGCGATAAAACTTCGATTTTAGACTTCGTTCAGTCATTTGAAGTAACTGGTTTACCGTCTAAAAATTTTGTAGACACCCCTGTGATATTTCGCTTATTAATTTTTGACATTCGAAGAGCGAATCGCCGACATGAACGCGACGTCACAAATTTCTTTCCATTAGATCAGGGTTTCTTAACCTGTGGTTCATGAACCCCTTAGGGGTCCATGGGTCATATTTTGGGGGTACGCCGACTACTTTTAAGACGATTTAAATAACATAAATCTTTTTTTTCTAAAAGGTGAAAATACATATTTGAAACTAGGTGATTGAGATACCCCAAATTCAGTGCGGACCCTCTAATATCCCTGTCATATTTTTAACATTCTGCACCAACCGGCTTTCCATTTGCACCATCAGGGGCAACCCCCTGATTACGTCTGATTTGCTATTTTTATAATCCTCTATCAACCCCTCATTTTTTGTGAGTCGATCTTTTGCCCTTTCTTCTTAAATATGACAGCAATCCTCCACAATATGAGGAAAAGAACATTCGCAAACCATATAAAAATTTAACATTTTTTAAAAACACAAAGTAGCTTTCAAATTTTATTTCAATTGAAAATAAAGTAAAGTAAAAATAATTGATGGTTTTTACAATAATTTTTTTACAGGGGGTGGTCTGTGACTTCTTAAAAATTTTTAAAAAGGGTCCATTATACCAAAGAGGTTAAGAAACACTGCATTAGATAAAGAGGAACTGATATGTCTAGCTTTGGGATCAAACCTAGGCGATTCAAATGACCATGAACGGTCAAACTCGATTAATTGAATTTTCGATCAGTGATCTCACGAGTTGTTATTATTCGTCAATTTGCAGCAAACAATGCCTTTATTGTGTCTTCAACATCAAAATTGCCTGTTCGAGATTTTGAAAACCAGTTTTGGCAATGGCGTACATACATCTCGAAACACACCGGATAGCTTTTTTCTTGCTCGAACAGCATTTTAACAGTAAAAAAGAAGAAAAAAAAAATCGAAAATGCTGTT